ACGAATCCCGATAGCAGTTGCACTCCCGACCGTCTCTCCCCAAAGGTCTCCATAATCAGATCTAGCACCTTATCTGGATCTGATTGGACGGTCCTATCGTGGCACTTAACCTCTGCCCTAACCGTTTCACCTATACTGCCCATCAGCAGTCTTAATCTTTCCTCTGGTGACATATGTCTCGAGGCCCAGGCCGCTTTGACCTCTTCACTGAACCTGTTGGTTAAAGTTGGATCTCCGTCCCCGTAAAATTTGTTAATATGGGACTCTCTGGGTAGGACCACTATATGGGTCTGCTTCTCGTCCAGAGTAGACATTTTCTTCCTTAAGTACTAAAAAAAAAGAGTTCTTTCTTACCGTGTGTGTATGAAAAATTTTTCCTCGTTCCTCAATTTTCACAGTTCCTGAATGTCCGAATTCACACACACACTAAACACAGTTATGCACAAGGTTGACTATAGGTGCCTTAAACGGCAAGTCTAGTTGAATTCATCCTGTTCGCAGCGCCAATTGTGACGAGCGAACATTTATCCTGCCGACAACGCCAATTGTAACGAGCCAACAGTTACCATGCTCGCAACGCCACATGTAATGAGACCTAATTGCCTGTAGTGCCACGTGTTAACGAGTTTAACCACTCATTCTAGACAACATTGACCACAGTATAGATACTCAAGATGCAGGTTCGCTATTGATCCTTTATTACATGAATCAAGAAATGCTTCATAATAACACAATAAATCAACAGGAATGCTTCTCAATAATAGTCTGAATCAACTGACCCCTAACAGTCCTTCACTAGGCTTTATATAACTGAATCCACATGTCTATAATCCTCCTTAACACAATACGGCTAACCCGTTCTATAACCGACTTGACATAGTCACACAGACTGACTGATCTAAGCGAGCGATGAAGATGGAAGAGAGCTCGCTGAAACGGGAAGAGAGAGAACGAGTCCTGCCGTGCCCTCCTATTTATGCCTTGTATCCGTACTCGTCTCCGTACTTGTATTCCTCCGTAATCGATACTTGTACTCGATCTCCGACCACCAGTTGCGTAGTTCAAACGTACAGACCGTAAAATAACATCTGCGTCCTATCCATCAAAGCCGACAGGCCGTCTGAATACCGTTTCCCAAAATAGCACGCGCCGGCTTTGAGGTTGTTATCAGCCCGACCCAATAAGCCACCTGTTATCGGTTGCATCAGACCAACACTGTGTCTCGGCTTCTCGTTCGTTATCATTTGTAACTGGTAGTTAGGCCTACCCCAGTTACATATATATATATATATATATATGTGTATGGAATTCATATTCACTTTGTGAAAAAAAATGAAATTACAGTACTGTCTTACTGTCTTAGAAAGAGTTGAAAAAAATAATAAAAAAATCAGTAATTTAGAAGGTCCATTAACTGCCAGCAATCCCCCCTCCTCCCCCCCCCCCCTTCCTCGCCATTCTCAAACACTGTTGACATTTGCCCAAGCGAGGAAACGCTTCTGCCCTCAAACCACTTCTCGCATAACTCGTCATTGACTCAGTATTTGAATTGTCGCCCCTGGGTCTCAAAGCCTTGTACGCGACACTGCTCTCCCTTGTTGTGTCACTACGGGATTGCTCTCCCTTGCTGTGTAGTTTGTGTGTAGTTATTTGAACTTTTCCCCTTAGGCCGCTTCTCACTATTTAAAATTTGTTTTGTACTGTTCAGAGGTTATACTTCATGTTTTTAAATTGTGTGTCGTTTTCAATGTGGAAAGTGTATCGGATTTATCTGTTTTTTGTTTTGAAGAAAACAAGTATAATCTAGGTCTACTTGTGCATTTAAAATACGATAACGATATGTTTTGAAAAAAAAATATACAATTGCAATCTACTAAATTAAATGTTAATAATATCCCTATCGGCTATATAGATCTATGTAGTATTTAGCTATTAAATTGGTTTAGTTTAAAGTTATGGATAGATATTTTAGCCAATTAAGCACGATTCAAATTTAATTTTAAACTTCGAAACAAGCAGATTTTGTTTCGTAGAATAATGCATAACATATCAAGGCTTGTGTCTACATATATTGTGGTATTAAGTGGCTTAAAGGGCGATATAGGTCTACAAGTGTAACAATAATTATAGTAATAGTTGTATGTTTGACCTTTTTATATTTAAATTAATTAGACGTGGTACGGCGCTAGACTGTTAATCCGAAAGTTTGGAGTTCTAATCCGGTTTAAGTCAGTACAACGTCCCTGAGCCCACCCAGCTATTATGGGTACCTAACTAACGTTTGGGAAAGTAAAGGCGGCTGGGCATAGTGCTGACCACACTATCCCTTCATATGCCGAGGTCACAGAAAGCTTTAAAGTCTAATTTACTTGCCCCATAGACCGCCAGGTTCGAAAAGGGAACTTTTTAATGAGACATTTGTAGGTTATAATAATTAAATTACAAGATTAAAGACCCTGGTTGTCGTTATCGATTTACAACAAATTTAACATTTAGTTACAGGTTAGGTTTAGGTTTGGGTGACTTAGGGTTATTGCGTGTAACGTTGTTGTGGCTATTAAAGCATGGGTTAGGGTTAAGGTTTTCTGGTCAAGAATTCGTAGTATAGTCTAGTTCGTGTAAGCTACACATAAGTACCATAAAAGGATGTTTCTTTTAATACTTCTCTTAGGCATCTTTAAGGGAATGGGGGATAGAAACTTGAAGTGTCCATCCCCCCTGATTTTTTATTTTTTGAAAAATATATGAAAGAATCTGGAGTTAAGTGGGATGCAATATGATTAGTTTAATTTGTATCGGAATAATACATAACTGAGCGAGTGTATGATGAATTAAATAGACATACTTTAAACCTACTTCATTAATTGTAATTTAATTAACTAAACTGTTGTCCAACATGTAATTAGACAAAGGCTTAATTAGTTGTAACCATTTCTTAACACGCGTTTTAATAGGAGGCGTATGAAAGTCTGTCTTGTTTTGATGAAAGTGAAATAATGAGCTGTTTGAATACATACACAGCTGGCTATAGCTGTAGAGTGGTGATTGACAGCTGGTGACGTCATAGGCCGGGCCGTGTTTCTTTCCGTGCTTCGCCGAGAGCTGGTCGGGGGTCATTAGGTTAATTAGCAAGATTGATTTATCGTGGTGGTGGAGTGGCGAGGCAAGTCAGGGGGAAGCAATGTGAAAGGGTTTAGATCTCTGTTGGGACATGTGTGTGTGGGGGGGGGGGAGGGGTGGTGTGTGTAATGGTGGAGTTGCGTTCGGTACTTGTGGTGACTAGTGGTGACACATGTGGTGAGATGGGGGGGGGGGGGTCACATTATAATGACATATGGTGACATATATAGGCGATAGTGGTGACACATAGTGACCCGTCTGGGCATTAGTGGTGACACATGGTGAAATGTCTGGACACTGGAGGTGATACATGGTGACCAGGCTAGACATAAATGGTGACACATGATGGCAAGTCTCGACGCTAGTGGTGACACTTGGTGACCATTCTGGACACTTGGGGTGACACAAGATGACCCATCTGGAAACTAAAGATGACACTATTTTTACTTATTTAGTTGCTTTTAAATCCTCCCCCCCCCCTAACAAGGACGTACTATAACGGATTAGAATAACCGATCCACATAAGGAAACGTACATGGCCTCTAGCCACAGTTTAATAATTTATTTATAGGTTAATGACATGACGACTGCTACGCTTCCATTACGTCCCACTCCTGTTGATATTTTCTGATCAAGCAAATGTTTTGACAGATTTTCAAAAATAAAATCTCTTAGTTTTAGACTTTTAAAAGTGAGTTATCCCCCTTGATTGCTCTTTCAGTTATCTTTCTTGGTAATTCTTTTCTTTTTTTTTTTTTTTTTTTTTTTTTTTTTGCTGCGTTTTCTACATATTCACCGAAACCTGTTTCGTTTTTAAATTTACGTATATTTTTCTCTTTAAAGCTAGCTTATTTGAACAAAAAAATTCACTGCTTTGAATGTAAAAAAAAAAAAATTAAAACGTGTAGATTTTCGCCAGACAAAAGCGAGTGAGCTGTTTGTCAATGTGTTGTTAGGCTGTGTAAACAAAGTGAACACGTACACAGCGTTGTCGAGGTCGTGTTGGTGTGTGATTCATCCATGGTACAGTCTCTGGTCAAATGTGCTCTCTGTTCTAGTGTCTGGTCAAATGTGCTGTCTGTGTTTACGATATGCCTCCGCCTTAAATAAAAATCAATTGTTGTGTCTCAGCAATGCGTTCTATCCTTATACGGCCAGTTATTTATGCGCGAGAGAGCGTAGTATTACTACTAGTAGTAATTAATATTTAAGATCCTCATTGATCTCTAACCGTGACCTTTTTTCTCTCTATTACATACACTCTGGCCATAAAACCCTACACTGACCCCAGGCTTGGCCCCTAACAGATCTGTGGTTCCCACCCAACCCATGTCACTAACACTAGCTCCGACCTTACCTATGTCACTAATCCTTGTCCCCACCCTACCCATATCTCTAACCCTGGTCCCACCCTAACCATGACCCTAGCACTGCCCTACCCATATCGCTAACCCCTTCCCTACCTTTGTCTCTAACCCTGAACCTAACCCCCATCATATATATAAAAAACCTTGGCCCCCACCCTACCCATATTGCTAATCCTAGCACCACCCTACCCATGACCCTAACCATAGCTCCTACCCATGACCCTAGCCCCACCCTACCCGTGACCCTAGCCCGACCCTACCCATATCGCTAACCCCTACCCGTATCCCTAACCATGGCCCCCACCCTACCCGTGCCCATAGCCCTGGTCCCGACCCTAGGCCATCTCTGTCCTCACCCGACACGCTATCATAGCCCAGATCTAACAGAAGATACAAGCCCCGCCCTCCACTCACGTAGACCACACTGTGCCAACACACACCGCTCACCCCACTGCCCGGGCATCGCCCCACACACTGTGCGAGCAGAGCCAGCTATAAATAGAACACAGCCACCGGAAATATTGATCTCCATGGCACTTGGGATTCCAGACTGTGTTATGTGTTATTTCTCCAAGTGTGTACTCAAGGCTATCTCGGTGCACTTGGGTTAGTATAGTTAGTGTTTGTTAAGGCGGAACTGTAGTTAGGTTTAGAGTCATCTTCAGGCCGTGCTACAGTTAGGTTTAGAGTCATCTTCAGGCCGTGCTACAGTTAGGTTTAGAGTCATCTTCAGGCCGTGCTACAGTTAGGTTTAGGGTCATCTTTAGGCCGTGCTACAGTTAGGTTTAGAGTCATCTTCAGGCCGTGCTACAGTTAGGTTTAGAGTCATCTTCAGGCCGTGCTACAGTTAGGTTTAGAGTCATCTTCAGGCCGTGCTACAGTTAGGTTTAGAGTCATCTTTAGGACGTGCTACAGTTAGGTTTAGAGTCATCTTCAGGCCGTGCTACAGTTAGGTTTAGGGTCATCTTCAGGCCGTGCTACAGTTAGGTTTAGAGTCATCTTGAGGCCGTGCTACAGTTAGGTTTAGAGTCATCGTCTGGCCGTGCTACAGTTAGGTTTAGAGTCATCGTCTGGCCGTGCTACAGTTAGGTTTAGGGTCATCTTCAGGCCGTGCTACAGTTAGGTTTAGAGTCATCGTCTGGCCGTGCTACTGTTAGGTTTAGGGTAATCTTTAGATGAGTTACTTCAGTTTTGCTGTGGTGTTTCGTAAGGCTTGATTTTTATGTGAGTTCAGAATAAAATTCCATCTTAGGATTCGGTTTTACATTTTGTATGTGGCTAGTGTTAGGATTCAGGGTTAAATTATTACAGCCGTGTTAAGCTGTGAGTTAGGTTTTGGGTTAAAGATGAACGAGTGATACATAAATGTGATATGAGTGTATTTTTACCTTCTCTAAAAAACAAACAAAAAACCCAGCATCATCATTGATTAGAGTGCTAGGACTTGGCAAGCTGTTTAAAAATTCTATTGTATTCGCTAGCTGTTGTTCCACCGATGTTTCATGGCGTTGAGGCCAGTCTCCTAGATCTAGATCTATATAGGATTACAAGCAACATTCTTTGTTGGCATGTTAGTGCACGGAGGAAGGTTTAGTTAGAGATTTTGAATGTGCTAAATTAGATTGGCGTTGATGGAGTGAAGGCACACACAGCTAGGCGTGGTTGTGTGGCTGATGTCAGGGTTTAGCCTAGTTACGGTGTGGTGTGTGGACGTGGGTTAACGTTTGCACACACTGTCGACACACAACTTACATGACGATGTGGCAGTGTGGTGTGTGTAGGGGGGTGGGGGGGTTAAAGTTCGCAGTCTATATGACAATGTGAGAATATGGTGGAAGGAGGGTGGATCAAGTTGTCGCTCAGGAAATTGTCACTTAGTTTCGACATACTAAGTTTAATTTTGAATACCGACAAGGCTTAAGAGCTTAAGACTATTATTGTATGACTAGTGCAGTTCACTATCTCAGTGTGAGGCCATATTGTGTTAGTTAAAAAGCCTGGCTTTGTTTCATTGTTAGGCGACTGGCGAGCTTAAAAAATAAGGTGTATAAAGTTTAATGATGGGACTGAGGTTTTATGTGGTGACATTAGTTAGTGTAGGACCTATGATGTGTGTGTGTGAAGGGTGTGTGTGGGGGGGGGGGGGAGAGGGAGTTTTAATAAGAAAGCACAACGTGTTAAGTCATGTAATGGTTCACACAGTTCATACGTTTATTCAGTAGTGGTGGTTTGTGTGTGGGAGGGTGGGGGTGAGTGTGTGTGTGCGGGGGGGGGGGGGGAGGGAAGGGTCAATGAGCCTAATATTAAGTTATATTTAACTTATATTTGAGTGTTTATGTGTGTGTTGGAGGGTAGAGCTTTTGTGTCCGTGTGTGTTTGTGTAAGTGTGTGTGTATGTGGTAGGGATATTATTTATGAATTTTTGTGTGTGGAGGTAGATATTTGTATGATTATGTTGTATGTGGTGTTGGGGGGGGGGGGGTAGAGATAGTATGCGGATTCGTTAATATCCAGACGAATAACAAGGATCACTGTCTCAATACTTTATACGCGTTTATCACTGAATTCTATGGTACAATATTTTTTCCAATAGAGCATTAACTTTCACCTTATTTGCTTAAGTCCTTTAATAAGCAACCGCTTCATTGCAAAGCCGCTTTTTACTTCTCAGTTTAAATCGCTGTAAAATTTTAATTTCAATAACGTAGAATGTATGCGGCAGAAACCGCAAGACACACAGCTGAATTGTAATGACTATTATTAGACCAGAGTTATCGTTCCTAGCTTTTATACTATACTTAAAGGGAAGTAACTCCATATAATTATTGTGAATTTATTTCTTGTGAAGTAAGATTCTATATCAGGAAGTAAACATTAAAGACAACGCGAAAGTGTCAATTTGAAACAAACTGTAAATAAATTTCTATTTTGATGACATGAACTATAGATATCATTGTGTAAGGGCGGTGTATTTAAGGTCGAAGTTTTTTACTATTTAACGTACTTGTATAAAACACAATCGTGAATTGAAAATACATTTGGAATATAAAGTCGGTACAGAGAGAGTTGAAACCACTCCAAGATGCCGAAACCTGCCATATACACCTCTACTCTAGAGGGATCTCTGGAAAAGGTGAGTACCTGTTGTGTTACCTGTACTTTGTTGCCTGTAATGTGTTACCTGATATATGTTACTTCTGATGTTTTACCTGTTATGTGTTACCTGTAATGTGTTACATGTAAAGTGTTATCTGTAAAGTGTTATATGTTAAGTATTACATGTAAATTTGTACCTGCAAAAGGGTTACCTGTAATTTAATAATATATAATGTGTTATCTCTAACTTAACACACGCAATCTTTTACCTTTGATGTATTACCTGTAATGTGAGTCCTGTAATGTGCTATCTGTGATGTTACCTGTAGTGTATTACCTGTCATGTGTTACCTGTAATGTGTTACGTTATAATGTGTTTCCTATAATGTCTCACATATGATGTGTTATCTTTAATGGGAGTCCTGTGATGTATTAACTGTAAGCTTCACCTGTGATGTGTCACCTGTGATGTGTTACCTGTAATGTCTCGCCTGTGATGTGTTACCTGTGATGTCTCACCTGTGATGTGCTACCTGTGATGTGTTACCTGTGATGTGTTACCTGTGATGTGTTACCTGTGATGTGTTACCTGTGATGTGTTACCTGTGATGTGTTACCTGTGATGTGTTACCTGTGATGTTACCTGTGATGTGTTACCTGTGATGTGTTACCTGTGATGTGTTACCTGTGATGTGTTACCTGTGATGTGTTACCTGTGATGTGTTACCTGTGATGTGTTACCTGTGATGTGCTACCTGTGATGTCCCGCCTGTGATGTGTTACCTGTAATGTCTCACCTGTGATGTGTTACCTGTGATGTCTCACCTGTGATGTGTTACCTGTGATGTGTTACCTGTAATGTGTTACCTGTGATGTGTTACCTGTGATGTGTTACCTGTGATGTGTTATATGTGATGTCTAAACTGTGATGTCTCACCTGTGATGTCTCACCTGTGATGTGTTAAATGTATTACCTTATAATGTGTTACCTTATAACGTGTTACCTATAATGTCTCCCATATGAGGCGTTATTTTTAATGTGCTACCTGTGATGTGTTACCTGTAGCATCTCACCTGTGATGTGTTACCTGTGATGTCCCGCCTGTGTTGTGTTATCTTTAATGTGCTACCTGTGATGTGTTACCTGTGATGTGTTACCTGTGATGTGTTACCTGTGATGTGTTACCTGTGATGTGTTACCTGTGATGTGTTATCTGTGATGTCTCACCTGTGATGTGTTACCTGTGATGTGTTACCTGTGATGTGTTACCTGTGGTATCTCACCTGTGATGTGTTACCTGTGATGTGTTACCTGTGATGTGTTATCTGTGATGTCTCACCTGTGATGTGTTACCTGTGATGTGTTACCTGTGATGTGTTACCTGTGATGTGTTACCTGTGATGTGTTACCTGTGATGTGTTACCTGTGATGTGTTACCTGTGACAGGTTGTTTATCACCTGAATTTGTTTACTGTCAAACAACGTGATATGCATACAGTTGCTCTTAATGAATATGCTAATTTAGCTAATAAAATGCAACCTCAAAGTTTGTGCCCTAACGCTTTTTAAAAAACAAAACTGCAGCTCTTTTGTTCTAAAAATGTTATTGTTTATAGATAATGTTGATTTCATTTAACAATATAAGGGTTAAGTTGAGATTTTTAAAAACATTTACTTTATAGTTAACGCTACATTTGAAATACAATAACATTTTTAAAAAATGTATAATGTGGTGATTAAGAGAAGAGGTAAAGATTAAGAAGAGGTTAAAAGTTTCTCTTAGACTTCATTTCAAAAAAGTCAACGCCCCCCCCCCCACCAACCCCCCTCCTGAACGAACGTTTTGTCTGGAGCCGATTTGTCTCAGGCCGTTTTCACGGTGCACCCTGTGGATCATTAAACCATTGGCTTGTATAAGGTGCATAAGGCTTTTTGTACTGAGCGTGTACATTTCTTACTGCTTGTGTACATAGTCTGTAGCGTCTATGGCTTCTACAGAACATGGCTTGTGTACAGACATATAGTTTGTGTACACGACTTATGACTGTGTACAAGACGTAAGACGAGCATATAAACGAATGATACGTGTGTGGACATGACTTGTGTACATGACTTAGTTTTGTGTACGGTGCATGTCGTTGCGTTTAAGGTACATGACTTTATATGCTGGAATATGACTTTTGGGTATATGACATTGGATATGTGTAAAGCCCATGTACAGTACATATGTGCTTAGGTCATATGACATTGTGTACAGGAAATATGACTATGTGTAAATGATATATGACAACTGTTTATAAAACAGTTGATAGTGTGTAATATATATATATATATATATATATATATATATATATATATATATATATATATATATATATATAAATCTATATATATAATTCTGTTCTGGGAGACGTTAGAAAACAAGCTGTAAGCGCGCCGAGCAGTCCCCTCTTTTCCTCTCTAGGCATATCGCAACCACCCCCACACCCACATGGTCTAGTGAGCTGTAGTTCACGCTAAATGTTTACATCGTAGAGCCGGGTTTAGTGACGGCTATTAGGGGCAGATAATTTAGTTTAAAACTATTTTATACTTAGGGGAAGTAACTAAGTGGAGGCTACTTTCACGTGGGTGGGGGGGGGGGGGGTAGGGGTTGGGGAAATGAGGGTTTTAGTGTTTTAAAGCAAATATTTCCAGTGGCAGCATTGGTACTGTCGAATTCACAAATTATGAATTACTAAAAAGTAGAAAATAAAACAACTAAATAGTGGGTCGGCTCGTATATATATAATTTACAAAATCAAGTTGAATTCATTACAATATTTGTGTGTCAAGACTAAACTTGAAGCATCTGTTTTGATTTTATTATTTGCCCCTGAATAGTGAGATGAAAAGCACGTAAGAAATACTTCATATGTTTTCCATCTTGCTCGAGGGGGCGGGGGGGGGGGGGGGCGAGGAGGAGATGGATGATTGTATTGATTCATCTTTCATACAGGTGAGAGTTATAAAACATAGCTAGTTCACAGCTTCGTAAACACACACACACACATGTGTGCTGCACTCCTCTCTCTCACATACACACACACACACTCTCTCTCTCTCTCTCTCACACACTCCCCCACACTCACACACACACACAGAGTGGCCGAGAACACAGCGGTGCATTGCCCCGGCGGCGCGTTGTTCAAATCAAAACCTCAAGACGACACAAAGGGAGGCGATTCACTCGTTCACGTCACTGCGAGTTACCTCCCTGAAGGCGACACACAGTTCTAGATTCGTTAGAGCTTTAATACAGCATGCTTTTTTACATTTCCTGTGGCGAGTAAGATAAGTTTTTGCTAATTGGAATAATTGGAGCTCTCGGCTTAATTAATTACACATTAGTCTGGTGAGTTGTTAATATGTAGTTCTTAATTAAATTTAGTTAATTATATATTTTAATGTACGTATTTAAAAGAAATGGCTTTCTTAATACATTAGTGTATGTGGTAGTATCTATATATATAATTCTCTTCTGGGAGCCGTTAGAAAACAAGCTGCAAGCGCGCCTTTGCAGTCCCCTCTCTTCCTCTCTATCACTATCACTACCACCCCCACCCCACCCCCACATGATCTGGTGAGCTGTGGTTCACTCTAAATGTTTACAAATCGTAGAGCCGGGTTTGTTGACGGCTATTAGGGGCAGATAATTTAGTTTGAAACGATTTTAAACTTACAGGAGGAACTAGGAGGAGGCTGCTTTCACGGGGGGGGGGGTGGGGGGTGGGGTGGGGGGGGGGGGGTGGGTGGGTGGGGGTGTAGGGTAGGGGTTGGGGGAAAGGGGGGGTTAGTGTTTTAAAGCAAATATTTTCAGTGGCAGCATTGGTACTGTCGAATTCACAAATTATGAATCACTGAAAAGTAGAAAATAAAACAACTAAATAGCGGCGTATGATACGCCGCGGGTCGGCTCGTAATTAATAAACTAGACAATGGATTCTAGTTTGCAGGGAAATCTCTTTCAATAAAATTTAAACAATACAATGTATTAACAACCATGCAAGCAACATTCATCGCATACAGGTTTTCTACGTTTTGTTTACCTCAGAGTAATGATACAAAATATATAAACAATTCCAAGATTGGGAAGGGGGGGGGGGGGGGCGCAAATAGTTTTCATCAAAGGGAGTTTACTCTACCATATTTCCCTCTTACCGTTCCTGAGTTCATTAACAAGTTCTAATCTATGATAAGACGACTACAACGCAGACAATTGACAAACGCCCAGTATTCACCACTTCAGTTTTTTTTTTTAATGCAACCACTAGGTTCACCAATAGGGCTTGTAAGTCACAACTTCTCGTTCTAGTACTTGCCAGCTAGTAGATTGGACTTACAAGCCCTATTCAGGATACAATTAGAGTTATTGTTAACATCACACGGAGTGCCTCTCGTATTCACTTCCTACCCTTAACTCCTTAACAACGGTGTTTCGGAAAACGTCACTATCTTTCATACGCGCAGTGGCGTCTCTAGGTCGGGTGTCACCCGTTGCTGCACCCCCCTCCCCCCAAAAAAAACCCCAATATATATATATATATATATATATATATATATATATATATATATATATATATATATATATATATATATTATATATATATATATATATATATATATATATATATATATATATATATATATATATATATATATATATATATATATATATGTATATATATATATGCCACATACGCGTACATGTATGGTTATTAGCTTTAATCGCTGTAGATTTATCTATAGTCGGTTACAAATACAGATGGATGTAGCATTGTTTTCTCTACAGTTAGCACGTTTATGTCATGGTGTCACCCCCCCCCCCCCCCCCCCCCCCCCCACCCTTTGTAATAATTGTCGCTTTGTATTAAAAGACCATTTTACTTAAATTAATTATTAATGGCTTTGGCAAAAAAACATTTTTTTCAGTACATTTTGCTAATTGTTGTCTTGGTGCCACCCTCCTAAATGGTGTCACCCGGTGCGGGCCGCCC